GGGCGGGGGATCGAAAGCGGAACCTCGACGGGATTCACTGGGAGCTACTGGGGGGCTGAACTGGGAGCACTGGTGTGGACTGGTGAGTGCCCCGAGCTGGACTGGAAACATTGGTATGGGCTGGGGAGCTCAGGGGGCTTGACTGGTAGCACTGTAGTCTAGACTGGGACCACTGGTGTGGACAGGGGAGCACTCCAGGCTGGACTGGGAGCACTGGCATGGACTAAGGAGCATCCTGTCTAGACTAGGAATTGCTTCGTCCAGACTGGTGAGTGCCTTGTCTGGACTGGGAAGTGCCCCAGCCTGAATTGGGTGCACTGGTGTGGACTGCTGAGCTCAGGGGGCTTGACTGGTAGCACCACAGTCTAGACTGGGACCACTGGTGTGGACAGGGGAGCACTCCAGGCTGAACTGGGAGCACTGGTGTGGACTGGTGAGTGCCCCAAGCTTGACTGGAAACACTGATGTGGGCTGGGGAGCTGAGAGGGCTGGACTGGGGGCACTGGTATGGACTAAGGGGCATCCTATCTGGAGTGGGAATTGCCTTGTCCAGACTGGAGAGTGCCTTGTCTGGACTGGGGAGTGCCCCAGGCTGAATTGGGAGCAATAGTGTGGACTGAGGAGCACTCCAGGCTGGACTGGGAGCACTAGTGAGGACTGGTGACTCCCCCAAGCTTGACTGGAAACATTGATATGGGCTGGAGAGCTGAGAGGGCTGGACTGGGGGCACTGGTGGGGACTGGTGACTGCCCCAAGCTTGACTGGAAACATTGATGTGGGCTGGGGAGCTCAGGGGGCTTGACTAGTAGCACCGTAGTCTAGACTGGGACCACTGGTGTGGACAGGGGAGCACTCCAGGCTGGACTGGGAGCACTGGCATGGACTAAGGAGCGTCCTGTCTGGAGTGGGATTTGCTTCGTCCAGACTGGAGAGTGCCTTGTCTGGACTGGGAAGTGCCCCAGCCTGAATTGGGAGCACTGGTGTGGGCTGAGGAGCACTCCAGGCTGGACTGGGAGCACTAGTGAGGACTGGTGACTCCCCCAAGCTTGACTGGAAACATTGATATGGGCTGGAGAGCTGAGAGGGCTGGACTGGGAGCACTGGTGTGGACTGGTGACTGCCCCAAACTGGACTGGAAACATTGATACGGGCTGGGAGCTGAGAGTGCTGGACTGGGAGCACTGGTGGGGGACTAAGGAGTGTCCTGTCTGGAGTGGGAATTGCCTCGTCCAGACTGGTGAGTGCCTTGTCTGGACTGGGGAGTGCCCCAGGCTGAACTGGGAGCACTGGTGTGTGCTGCTCAGCTCAGGAGGCTGAACTGGGAGCACGGTAGTTTAGCCTGGGAGCACTGGTGTGGACAGGGGAGCGCCCCGGTCCTAACTGGTTTTAACTGGTGAGTTCACAGGCTGTTGATCATTCCCCGGGAGCCGCACAGGGAGAGCTGGTCCGTACTAGTCCCACCATGGCGCTGCTGTCCGCTGGTCTCCTGCCCGGTGTTCTGCTGGCGGCCGATGCCCTGGCACTGGTGTTACTGGCGCCGCTGGTGCCGGTGCTGGCGCCACTGGGTTTGGTGGGCGTGTGGCTCGAGGCCACCCTGCGCTTGCCCGTCCTGGCCGTGGCCGCCTGGCTGCTGGCCCCTCGCCATCCCTCCAGAGCCACCGCGGCCGCCGTCACCGTTGCCACCACCCCCGCGGTCTTCGGAACATTCCAGCACCTCCTGGGGCAGCCCGGGGCTGGGCCGGGGCTGTTGGCCACCGCGCCCGCCTGGCTCGGGGTCGCCCATGCCGCTGCTGCACTGGCCCTGCTGGCCTGGGCCGCGCCCCCGGTGCCCGGTGGTGTCTCTGAGACCCCCGGCGATGTTCCCAAGTCTCCTGGCACCGTCTGGCGCACTCTGGCACTCACCTGGGAGGAGCGGAAAGTCCTTGGAGCTGCTCTCCTCTGCCTCGTGCTGGCGATCGTTGGTGGGTGACAGGCGCTGACAGCCCAAATTTGGGTTTGGCAGCTCCAAATTGGGAACCCCCCCCAGTTTGGGACCCCCAAGATTGGATGCTGGCCCGTAGAAATTGAGTGCTGAGACCCTAAATAGGCGATGACCATGCTAAAACTGAGTGGTGACCGCCCTAAATTGTGAGTTGACCCCTTCAGTTGGGTGCTGACCCTGCTGAAATTGGGTGCTGACTTTCCAAATTGGGTTCTGACCCTGCAGACTTGACTGTTGGACCCTCAAAATTGGGTGCTGACCCTCAACCTGATTGGTCTGATGCCCAAAAATAGATGTTGACCTCTAAGACCTGAGATCTTAAGGTCCTGATCTCCTATGTTTAGGTTCTGACCCATAAAATTGTGTGCTGAACCCCCAAAAATTGGGTGTAAAATTCCTACATTTGGCACTAAACCCCTAAAATGGGGTCCTGGCCCCTCTAAACTGTCTCCTGTCCAAATCTTGTCCCGATTAGATACCCACTCCCCAGAGTGGGTCCTGCCCCTCACAAATAAGGGTCCCCCTGTGTCAGTGGTCACAGCCATGGTGACACAGTCTCGGTGACCCCCAGGGGAGATGTCAGGACCATACGTCACTGGGAAGGTGCTGGATGCCATCGGGAGTGGGGATGGACTCACCACCGGAGCTGTCGGGATGGTGGCGGCTGCTGGAGCCACAAGGTGGGTTGCAGCATTCCCAGGGCCTGTCCCAGTGTCCCCAACGTCCCTGATGTCACCGTGCCCCTGTGTCCCCACAGTGTGCTGTTTTCCGGGTGCCGTGGGTCTTTCTTCATGCTGTTGAAAGCACGTCTCTGTAAGAACCTGAGCCTCCGGCTCTTTTCCCACCTGGTGCACCAAGACCTGGACTTCTTCCAGGGAACGCCAGCAGGTAATGGGGCACGACCCAGACCCATCCCACCTGACCCATCCCACCCCACCTGACCCATCCCACCCCACCCCACCCCACCCCA